TCACATCAAAGGTTGAAAGCTCCAAAAGCTAAGAAGTTTTTTTTTTGCTCCAACCGAAATTCAATGAAACATGCATGGTAATGATAATACTTTGGACAAAATGCATAAAGGCAAAGGTACATGTTTTCAAAAGCTTTGTAGAATAATATTATGATTTTGTAATGATGGTCTGCACAAATCATTTCATGCTTCAATTTTGAAAACTCATATTATCTTGCTTGAATCTCATAGCCAACAAATAAGAAAAGTGAGGAGCCTTCCATTGTGCACAAAAGGAAATATTTATGAATAATCCTTGATTGAAACTCGATTGGTTCATGAGGAATCTAAACGATTACTTGGCAAAATTATTTTGTGAATCATGAGCTCAAGGATAGAACAAATGATGAGGCAAATAACTCAAGTATAACCCTCACAAAATCATGAAAAAGCCTAGCAAAAAAATCACTTGACCAAATAACTCAAGTATATAGTTGGGGAGAAAAGAAAAGAAAGAAAAAGAATTCATGAGAAGAAAGAAAAGAAAGAAAAGAAAGAAAAAGATATAACTGGGGAGAAAAGAAAAGAAAGAAAAAGAATTCATGAGAAGAAAGAAAAAGAAAGAAAAAGTAAAACTCAAAACCTGAAACCTCCTCAAAGCCAAAAGAAGCATAATTTACAAAAGGAAAAAGATTAGAAACCTCATCTCATAAATACACCACATATCCTTGGTACTCATGCTCATGAGAGATTTCAAAAAGAAAAATCATCAAAGATGAAATTATGAATTGATCAAGATGTTGACAAGGTTATTCAAGACAGTTCAACGCACCATTTACACTTAAAAGAAAATCTTCATCATTTTTATGAAGAAAGAGTGTTAGGATGGTTCAAAAAAAGAAAAACATGGCTTGCATTAATGAAATCATGAAATAATCCTTGTATGAAATATTATTACATTATCATGCTTAATTCTACCAAAGTGAAAAAGAAAACAAAAATCCATTGGTGGAAGCATACTCCAGATTTGAACCATAGCTTTTCACGAATTCGATGGAAACAAAACAAAAGGATGAAGAGAATTTTTTCGATCATTGATTAAGGACAATCAAGAATTTAGGTTGAGGAGAATTTAATAAATGCTCAAAAACGACAAAAAGTCTTCTACGAAAGTCGAGCATTTATCGAGTTTTCTAAAGCATTTAATAATACAAACCAAGTATTTTATCAAAGAAATGGTATTCTTACTAACTATGCTCAAACTTTGCAGGAAAGAAGACCATAAGATGAAGAAAACAAGAAAAAACATTATCCTGTTTCGCTACAGAAAAATTCCAGAAAAAGAACGTTCGCTAAGCGAAATTATCTCGCGAAGCGAAAGTAAAATTCCAGAACTGAAGACCCAAGATTCGTTGGAAGCGAAAGAACGTGAAAGGCAGCGAAAGCCCAATTCGCTTCACGATACTAACTTCGCGTAGCGAAACCAAGTCAGTAGCAAAAAATCTAAAGTTCACTGGAAGCGAGGAAGAGCGAAGTCCAGAGTTCTGATTCCTTAAAGCTGAAGTAACAGAGTTCGCGAAGCGAGGATTAAGTCGCAAAGTAAACTTTGGCTGCCTCAGAAGACAAGTTGCAAGACAAAAACTTAATTGAGAAGAAACAGAGGCCTCGCGAAGCAAAGTATGGTTCGCTCAGAGAACTCAGGCGGCCAGGAAATCTATAAAAGGGACCAAGGTCAGTTGTAGAGGGATATCCAGATTTTTAGAAATTACATTTGATATTAGTTGAATATAGAAATATTGTAATAGATAATTAAGAGAGAGAATCGAAGATACGCATCAAAGATCGAGGAATCGTCATTGATGCTCATTCATCTCCAACTCTTCCTTTTTGTGCAAGCTACCATGAGAATGGATAGCTAAACTCTCTCTTGCTAGGGATTTGAATACTCTACCAAACCGTATGTATCTTATTCGATTATGCTTTTAATATAAAGAATATTTTCATGATTATTGATTATATCTTCTTTATAGTGCTAAATCTTAATGAATCCAATTGTTAATGAAAATTGCATTTGAATTCAAGAACAAAAGATAAGAATCACTTAAATACTAATTTCTAGACATATAATTAGGTTTAAGATCCATATCAAATACTCGAGCCTATGATTAATCGAGTTGTTTAATCGGTTGAGATATCGTCAATTAAACAAACCGAGAAAAATCGTAAAACTATTGTGTATACATACATATGATTTTGACATAGTACATGGAAATATGAATGGAAACAGAACTAACACAAGTAATAAAAAAGATACATATGTGAAGGTAGAGGAATATCAGTCCCTACAAGATTATCTCCCATAAAATCTTTCACTTACGTCATTTTCGTTATAAGTTATTTTTCGTATTTTCGTTACTTTTCAATTATCCCGTCTTACTCGTACTTTAACTTCAAGGATATTGGTAATCCAAGTGTTCGTAATATCGCTCCAGTCTCTGTGGATACAATATACAAAATACTTCTTTTGATAATACACAACATCATTTACACTTAGGATTTCAGTTTCAACCTTCTTAAATCTCCCATAGCAGTATCGTGTCTTCTTTGCTAGGTGCATCTCACATTTTCTTCTCTAATTTTTACTTTATTATATTATTTCTTTTTCATCTTTTCATTTTTATGCTACTATTTTCTCTTCTAATTTTGTTTTTATCACACGTCTTCTTCTCTAATCTCTCATCTCTTTCGTTCTTTCTTTTTCATCTTCACTAATTTTTTATCTTCTCTATTTTTTTTGTTTTATTATAATATTTTTGATATTGTATTTGATATTGTTTCATGTTATTGTTTTATGTTTATTATTCTAATTTTGTCTAATCTAATGTTTATACATTAAATGAGAAGTTGCTATCTAAATATGATGAGTTTTATTGTTATTTAGTAATGTATGTATGACTAAACTCGAAATTATGTTACCATATATATATATGTGTATGTCTGACTCAATAAAAAGATTAAACCAGATTGATTTAATTTGGTTTGGTTCAGTTTTATTTATAAAAGCCAACTAAACTAAACTAAACCGTACATTTTTTTTCTCTTGTGGTTAAAATAATTTTTTGTTTTAAAATCACTCAAACCACACCGCGAACACCTATATCTGATATTATTAAATGCACTTTGTTATTTTTTTTGAAAAATAATCAGAATTTAAGATTCATTTAAAATAATATATATATATATATATATATATATATATATATATATATATATATATATATATATATATATATATATATATATATATATATATATATATATATATATATATATATATATATATATATATATATATATATATATATATATATATATATATATATATGTACTTTATTAATTTATTATTTTTAATAATATTTATGATTTAAATTAATTTTTATTTTTCTAGTATTTCATATATTTCAAATATAATGAATCATTGTTATTCTGTATATTACCTTTTAATATTTTATCGGTTGTCTTTGACATGAACAAGTTATTTATTTTTGTGTTTTTAAAATATAAAATATTTTTATAATTAAAAATTAAAAATTTAAAAATAGATTCAAATCAAAATATTTTTATTTAAATTAGATTAATTTTTGTATAAGAATGTGTCGATTTTGTGGTGATAAAAATTGATTTTTAATGAATTAGATTAAAAGTAAATTAAATATAAAAATATTTATTTTTTAATACGTTATTAAAAATGAATGGATAAGAATTTGAATGCAAAAATATGTTTTACAATCAAGATAAATATTACACCATTTATTATAACTTTTGACTACTTTTTAAAAAGTTATTTATTTATAAAAATTAACAATTTCTTTACATTAATCTATAAATATAAATAAATGATGTCATTAGAAAAAATGATAGAAATTAACAATTTATTTACACTAATCTTAAAGCAAGTTATTAGAAAATAAATTATAAATTAATATTTTACACTATTTTAACACAATTAACACATATCAATTAAATTATTTTACTCATAATTTTGTATATATTTTAAGAGTAAAATTAAATTTACAATGGATCAATCTTAATCACATATATTTTTATCTGGATCAGTTTTTTTGTTTCAATAAACACATCTATAAAATATTTACTTTATGGAAAATTAAACAAATAGAAAGAAGTTTATTTTAAAAGAATTTTATTCATAAGTATAAAAAGACTAACTTAATTAAATAAAAATAGTATTTTCTAAAAATAAGTATTTTTTTCTTTTTAATTTTCAATACGTTAAAATAAGAAAGTTAATGGTTATAACTCTTACTATTTAGATTGTATCGCATTACTAATTTTCCTTCACTTAAATCTTTTAACTTTATAATCTTTAATTAAAATCAAATTGAACTGAGCTATCGCCTATCAAATCACCTTTTGAACAGAAAATACTTTTTGTTTATTGATGAAAAGTTTTTCGATCTCAATGCTTAATACATGTGAAATTCTATTAAAATATCTATGAGTGACAAAAAATAACGAAAATTGACAAAATCATTAAAATATATGTATTTATATTTTATTCTTTTTATTTTATTTTTTCTAATTTATCTTAAAATTTATCTTAAATATCATTTATGAGAAAATAAATGATTCATTATCGATATAAATTAATTTTATACTGTCAACCAATTACAATTTTATATTATAATAAATTATATATTAAAATTTTTTTAATAATAAAATAGATTATTGACTTTCTATTAAATGATAGTGTAAAATAATTACATATAAATTAAACTTTTAAAATATATATATTTATATTTTTTTTGTTTTATTTTATTTTTCTAAATTTATCTTAAAATTCAACAAAAATTAAATATAAAAAAAGAGACAAATATGGAAGAGGATTGTGCGGTGCAGCGTATTTGAACAAATGAAAATGGCGGAATTTCCCCCGCAGAAACAAAAAGAAAAGAATAAAACAGAACTTACGAGAAGGAGCAATTGACAGTGATTTGGTTACCATGACTTTGGACGCACCTCCTGAAGACGACCATCCCAAACGCCGTGCGTCTGATCATCCAGACTCACCGGTGTTATCGAAGAAGCGAGAAGTGATCGGCGAAATCGCCAATCTCAACATTCAGAGCCCAACGACAAAGGAAGAAACGACCGAGGAAATCAAACAGCCATCTCCTTGTTCCATCTACAGATATCTTCGTGACATGGAGATGGATGAGAATAAGAGGCCATTAGGTAATTACATTGGGACAGTTCAGAAAAGGATGACAAATGATATGCGTGAAATTCTGATTGATTGGTTAGTGGAGGTTACTGAGGATTTCAAGCTTATTTCCGATACTCTTTATATCGGCGTTTCTTACATCGATCGTTTCCTCTCTGTTCGTCCTCTCCACAAAAACTACCTCCAGCTTCTCGGAATTACTGCCATCCTCATTGCCTCGTAATCATCTCCTCCTATCTGTTTTTCACCTCATCTAATAATCTCTTCAACGATCCAAACTATTTTTATTCATTTTAACAAACAGGAAGCAAGCTGACATTTCTTCTCCACCGGGGGAACGCTTGTGCTTTATGACGGATAATACTTACACCATCTCAGAGGTTATACAGATGGAGAAGGACGTCCTTCAATTTTTGAACTCTGATTTATGCTATCCCACCTCTAGAAATTTTCTCAGGTCACTAACTGTGTTTTCTTCTTTATTATTTACATAATGTTTTTTTTTTTTTTTTGTATTTACTCACTTCACAATTCCTGTTTCCTACAGAATTTTCATCGGAATTTTTCACAGTCATACTAGTGCTCTGGTATATATATGTATATATTCTATATGCCCTCTCTTTATTGTCTTGTTATGATTTTGTAATATTTTTTCTCCGCTTTAGAATGCATGTTAAGAATGATTTTGATAAGCCTGTCATATTGTTATTCGAGAGATGTCAGGTTTTGTGTTTGAGTAACAGGACTCATATGTATCTTACAACTGATTTTATTAATTTTTACTGTCCTAGCGTTGTACCAAGCCATTCGATTACTTGGTCGCTAAGAAATATGACCAGCAATTGGAATTCCTGGCTTGCTATCTTCTGGAGTTATGCCTATTATCATCCAAATGCATCAAGTTTTTACCTTCCATAGCTGCTGCTTCTGCCATATTTCTGTCCAGGTTTATACTTGAACCAAAGGATCACCCTTGGGTACGAATTAATGTTGCAATTCACTTTCATTATTCTTGTGATTGTATTTTATTAAATGCAATTCAATTATCCATTTAATGTTGGCTACCTTAATTACAATTTGATCGACCAAAAGGGCACACTAGGTCTTTTATGAACTTGGTGCCTAGATAACATACTTGATGACCCATCATATTAGATTATTTGAGTTTTTACCTAAAACACTGTTGCATTCAGGAATCACTCATGGGCATTCATTGATGCCCTTTGTATTTAACCTAATATCTTCCTTTTATTGTGTGGCAGACTCAAGAGTTAGAATGCCGATCAGGATATAAGGCAAGTGACCTGCAGGAATGTGTCCTTGCAATACATGATGTGCACTCCAGTATCTCAGAGTGGCATGTACAAGCAGTACGGGAAAAGTACATGAAATCCAAGGTACGTAGTGGATTGGGTTTCCTTGCAGTCAAAGTCACACGCATTCACGTACTCAGAGTTTTACTGACAATTCAATCAAGATCAGTCAGGGTCACTAAAGCCCTGAATGCATAAATGTGTGGTTAATGTGACTGCATTGAATCCATTTTTAGCGGTGTTCACTTAATTTGTCAGTGTTTGTTATTGAATCCAGCACTGATATCTAATCTAACTGTCCTTTTTACAAACAGTTTCTGAGTATGGCATCTTTGACTGCTGGGGAAATTCCTGCAAATTATTTTGATCCTATTGATCAATAAGATTTGAGCCGTTGAACACCATCTGCACTTTCCATCCACAAATTTTGTCGAGTCTGTTTCGAAGAGCCCCATCAGCTTATTATAGGTGCCAGAAACTCTGATGATTTGCTGCTGTTTTGTATGATTTATAAACTGTCAATGTTTTTCTTTGTATGGATAATGTGGGTATATTTTTGTTTTAGCTTTCGGTTTCAATAAGTAACAGATCTAGTAATCTGGAATTCTGTTAAATTATATCATTGATTGATTCAATCAACATTCATTATCAAAATTTTTCGAAGTATTCATATTCAATTGAAATTTATTAACCATCTAGATCATGGTTTTAAATAAAGGTTATTGTGATATAGATTGCGACTAAAAGGTAAGAATATTGGCCAACATCGATATTTTTTTTGTTAAAGTGGGGTGAAAAACATGTCAGAAGTAAATCATATTCAGAAGTTGTTGTTAGAGTCAAAAGCTTTTGGGTCTGTTAGTCAGAAGCAGTAGTTTCTGAGAGGGTTAGCCAGAAGTTTTAAATATCTGAGAATATATTAGCCAGAAGTTGTAAGCCTCTAAATTTCTGAGACTATTTAGTTAGAAGTAGTATTTAGATGTTTTCTAGAAGCTACTCTTAGCTGTTAGCTTAGCTATTAAGCATACTTTTATTTGTGCCTACGTGACCGTTTATTTTGTGTATTTAAACAAGTTTGAAACTAGATTTTTTCAAAAAATATTTAATATAGATTTCTTTCTCAACAAGTTTATTGTGACTGTTTTTCTCTCTCTTCTTTCTCTATCTTCTATCACATCATCTTTATCTTCAACCTTGTGCATCAACGATTGGTATTTAGAGTTCCGGTTTGATTCACAGGGAAACAGGAGTGTACGTGAGGCGTGTGTAATTGATTTTGTTATTCTTGAATTCACGTTGAATTTACGATCAAAATCGTAAGAGAATTGCACTTATTGATTTTACAGGATTGAGAAACACGAGTGTTTGGTGAAATATGAGATACGAGTAAAGTTTCAATGTAAAAGAACGAAGATGAACGACGGAAGTAGTTTGAATACAAAGCTTCCGGTGTTTTATGGAAAGAATTAGAATCGATGGATGATTCAAATGCGTGTGTTGTTCGGTGTTCAAGATGTTCTTGATCTTGTTACCGAAGATTATGTTCCGGTTGCAGCGGATGTGATAGAGGAACAAAGAAACACACAAAGAGGTACGAGGAAGAAAGATCAGAAAGTGTTGTTCTACTTTCATCAGTGTGTGAATGTGAATGTGTTTAAAAAAATCGCTTATTCAACGATGACGAGGGTTGCATGGGATATACTGACACGATGCTACGATTGTGATGCACCAGTGAAGAATGTGAAACTTCAATCTCTATGTAACTCGTATAAGAATCTCAATATGAATCTCTATGTAACTCGTATAAGAATCTCAATATGAAGAACAATGGAAAGGTACCTGATTACATCTCTAGAGTGATTTTAATCACAAATGAGATGAAATCACGTGGAGAAACTCTTTCTCAAGAAGTAATCATTGAGAATGAAATTTTGGTATATCAGACTTCAGATGTCCTATGACATGTTGAGACATCTGAATCCGAACAAAACAAGCATGACAAGGTATAAACATACAAAATAGTACTGGAAAGCATAAACAACACACCAGAATTGTTAACCTAGTTCGGAGCAACTCTCCTACTTTGGGGGCATACCAAGTCATGGATAAAGTCCAATATAATAATATCAATTCAAAGCTAAACTAGTCCCAAGTTTATAACTTCTCACTTAATCACTACCCATGCTAACTTTCTATCTAAGACTCGTCTAGATATGAGACCCTCCTCAATTCCTCATCAATCACAGACATCAATTGAATCAAAACAGGAAGACAGACTTCTATGACGCAAAAAGAGAAGATAAACTTCCATGAAAATATTAGAAGACTCACTTCTAAAATAATACCTAGCCAAGACTCTTGACTAAGAACACAACTTAGAGTTACTTAAAATCTTCCTCCAAGAACAATACTCATTCTTGCTTCAGAACTTCGAGAAGAACAAAACCTTACAACTCAAGGAACACAATCCAACTCACATGTCGAGTGGATCACACATGCCAACTCTCCTAGAGAGTGACTTACAAACTCATCCCTAATAATATTACAATTTTAGCTGGTACCTTTACCTAGGTTACAATGCTTCTATTTATAACCTATCTCCTAATTGAATTTGGGCTTCAAATCACAGCATATCAACTGTTACAAATCTGCAGAAGATTCTGCAACAAAATAGGTCTTCAATCAAATCCTTACTAAAAAGACTCCTTATTTAGAAAGTATATTTTCCTCTTGAATTTTGATTGAATCTTCCAGACCTATAAAACATTGCCACATATAATATCATAATATTCCCAGAATATTCTGCATCTATTAAATCATAACAGAATCCAACTGTCCAGCTCAGTACATGCGTGGTGTCGAATCACCCTACATAGAACATATTATCTGATATGTTTCTCCATATGATTAGAACTTCTCATCTCAACATGTCTCAACATAAAATATGACTTCTTGCTCAACATGTTCTTCTTAGCAAGTTAACACATCCTATTTAACATATTGCTGCTATATTAGTTTTAACGAACATAATTCCAACCATAAAAACAGAGAATTAACATAGAAGGTATTGAAATCTCTTACTCCTCAATTTTATTACATTGTTGTAGCAATTGAACACTCTAAAGATCTTAGCACCGTGAGAATTAAAGAGCAGCAAAACAGTCTAGAGACGCAAGAGTTGTGTGTGACTGAGAGAATGTAACACCCATTTTCTATCCTGAAAGAATATACAACATAATCAGAGTAAATTAGCATGCACATCAAAAATGGGCGTCATATTTACTTCACGACAACAAATCTAATACATTGGTCATATTCATAACACGCATTTAGAATCACGTTCTATACCATAACACATAAGCATCTCACAGAGGAATACTTCTCAATTCAAAATAGCAACATTAATGATTGAAATCCCATACTGACAATCATATCATAAAATACTAGGCACTAAAGGCCATCCTAACATACATCTCAGTCAAACATAAATATCCAGAGAGTATAACAACATCTCTCAAATAAACACGAATATCATAAAGATAACATGAATCCAAAAGTTCCCCGTGTTACATAGACAAGATCAATGACTCTCTACCTAAGAAAACAGATAAATAGGAACTAGCTCCTTGGTCTAATCCTCTCTAGAAGCGCCACTAACTTTGGTACCTGAGCGATGTCGTATAAAATATCATTCTAACATAAGGATGAGAATTCATATCATTACAAAAATATATAATAATAAGTAATGCATAATTGTGATACGGTGAGAGAACTGACTTGAGGTTTTGCGTTTGTATTCACACTTGTTCGGTTTAGCAAGAGTCGCCACCGACTTTTTATTTTATCCTAAAGGAAAGGTTAAAAAGCACAGGAAAAACCTTTTGAGATGTTTTCGTGGGTTCGGGGGGTAGATTATGAAAAGGGAAGGTGCTAGCACCCTTTTCATCCATGGTTATCCATGGGCTCTTAGTTACTTGTTTTAGATCACTTGCCTTGCATTTTCAATTATTTGAAATGGTGCTTTCAATTGTTTGAAATGGTGCTTTGTGTGTGGTTTTGAAAATGTTTTGAAAAAGATGCCTTGTCTAGGCAACCATTGTAACAATTCTTTACTCGAATGTTTTACAAAGGTGTTTGTCTTTTTGAAAAGATGTTTCAATGTTTTTTGAAAGTTTGTTTTGAAATTGTGTTGTGGAGTGTGTTTGGAAAAATGGCAAGGATTTGTTTTGCAAGTTGGTCAAGTAACCAAGAGCTATCTACCCTAAATTTCTCAAAGATCATTCCTATGTTTTAACCCTTTTAACAGTATTGTTCCACCATTGTATTTGGTGGACAATCTTGTGTTAGGATATTAACGGGACGGGCGTGGGTCATCGTTTAGACCATGAATGCAATAGTGCCAAGTGTCTTTGCCAATTTTTTTAAGGGACTTGATCATTTTTTAGGCAACTTGAGAAAGCGTCATCGAGGGACTATGATCATTTGATTTGTTTTGTTTTGCCAAAGACACTCAACATGCAATATGGCCCATTTTTGAAGGCAACAAGTGGAGTAACCCTAGGGGTGCAAGTGTGATTGGTGTTGTCCATTTTCATGCTTTTTTGTCTTTGTATTTAGGTCATCTAGCGGTTGATTTTATTTACATACAAACCCTAGGTCTATCATGGCATAATTTGAAAGCTTTTAAATGCGGAAATTTAAAGTCCTAAGTTATTACAACATGATTATGGGGATGGGGATACAAATATTTACAAATGGGGGATGAGACTTATCGGAATAGTAGTGTCCAAATAATATTTACAACCAAATCGAATCGCATTCTCAATGTAAAATATAACAATGTATAAGAATCAAAGAGAAATAAAAGTATGTAAGATGCACATGATTATTTACAAATGATGCAAATATTAACCTAATGTATTTATTAATTATTTATTTATTTTTATGTTTTTGTTAATTATACAAACAAAAGTTTTAAAGAAAAGAAAAGAAAAATGTTTAAGTTAAAGAAAACTAATGTTTATGTATTTAGTTAATGTTTTTAAAAAGCTTATGTAAAAAGATTTATTAAACAAAAAAAAGGTTTTAAACACAAGAAAATTATTTAAACCTAATAACCTAATATTTATATATTTTTTGGTTTTTTTGTTAAAGTTATATATATAAGAAATTTATTTAACTCAAAACTCTATTTTTATGTATTTTTAATTGTACTAAATAAAAAAGTATTTAAGAAAATTTTATAAAAAAAGTTAATGTATTCTTTTTTAAAATGTAATAAACATTAAAAATATTTTTGTACAAAAGATTAATATTTCTTACTTAACAAAATAAGTTATGTAAAAAAGGAAATAAGGTGATATAATAAAAAAAGAGATTAACT